TGTACACTACGAAAACAACAAAATAAATTATTCACAAACAACGAAAAACTTTTCTACAGACAAATCAGTACCAAAACAAACACTGATACACAACACAGTGGCACAACACAAAAGAACAACTCACAACTTATTGGTCTTCTCTTTGATCCAATGCTGTTACACATAATGCTGATGCAGGCTGGATCAAGGAGGAGAACAGAAACTTGCACAACATACCAACTATGCCCTGTGCTTAAATAAACATACACGACATCCGCTATGCTGTTAACAGAACATGCAACTGGAAGACACCTGGTGTAGAAAACATTCACAATTTCTGGTACAAAAAGTTTACATCACTGCACCAGGAACTAGCTAAACATCTAACACACATCATCGTCAATCCACAAGACACGCCAAAATTTCTTACTCGGGGCATCACCTACATGAAACCTAAAAACAACAAAACCACAGACCCCAAACAATACAGACAAATTACATGTCTTCCAACACTCTACAAATTATTGACATCCTGTATCACAAACAAAATATACAAACATGTTGAAGAACACGACATTCTTACAGAACAACAAAAAGGTTGAATATTCTGGTTATAGCTGTATTTATCCGTTGGAAAGTGGAGATGTTACAGCATGACATAAACTACTTCAGGTGCTTCTTGAGGGAAGAACACACACCAAAATCCTTAAAGTTAAAAAGAAGTATACGGAATATAATCCCCAAACATATGATTTGGAAGATAGAAAGAAAGATAATAAAATCTGTAATTAGGAGTAAAGTTAAAAAATGGAATAATTTAAAATACCAACTAAGAAAATTATTACAACAACATAGTTACAAAGAAAACCCACACAAAGGTATTGCAAATGGATACAAATATAGAAAAGATCTTAAATTACATAAATTATTTAAGTATCCGGTCCCTAAAATGAAAAATATGTGGATAAATAATTTAATTGTTAATAAAACTAACATACAAATCCCCACTTACATAAAACAATTCCTAACATTAGGAATTGATTTTAATATACCTATTGAGAAAATAACTATGGATCTAATAGCAAGTATAGACAAAAGTATAAAAGACTTGCCGATAAAAAAGGATAAGAAAACTAAATTAATAAATTCCGTAATCCAAGATATAAAACATATATCCCAAAAGAATAAATTTAAAGTAAATAAATATAAAACAAACNTCACCCGTTACCCGTACACGTTTTGGGCTAAATACGTGCGCCTCAACCTCTCTATTATATCGGGGTTCGTACAATCGACAGTAATAGAACTATATTTTCTTCTCATAATTATTTATTATTATAATGTTCGTGTAATGCTACTAATTATGCTTCTGACGATAAATTATGTTAATTTTACACCCTTTTATGATAACTTTGCCTTATCGAATAGCAAACACATATATAATACAACTTACCAATTAGTTGAGTAAATATTCCTTTATATAACAGCATAAGCATAATATATAGGCATTACATTTATGAAGACATTTACTACGTATTTACGAAATTTACGTGATGTACTAATTATGTTTCTAACAATAAATTATGACAATCGTTTGCTCTTTTACGTAAAATAAATAAGTCTGCTTTATCTAAGAGTAAACAAATACAATGCAGTCTATCAATTATTTGAGTAANTATGAAGACATTTACTACGTATTTACGAAATTTACGTGATGTACTAATTATGTTTCTAACAATAAATTATGACAATCGTTTGCTCTTTTACGTAAGATAGATAAGTCTGCTTTATCTAAGAGTAAACAAATACAATGCAGTCTAACAATTATTTGAGTAAATATTCCTTTACATAACAAGATACGCATACTTTTCCTGATTGGTGTACATATATAAAGGCATTTAATTTTCTAATTGTAGAAAATTGCGTAAAATCTGTTCAGCTTCTGATTTTATCTTGTCCTTATACTGGCCTTAGTACCATAATTAGTGCTTTTGCTGCTAGATTCACGTTTTAAGAATAAAAATATTCACAAGTAAAGCAGAAATTTTAAACTTTTAAAAAAGNTATGAAGACATTTACTACGTATTTACGAAATTTACGTGATGTACTAATTATGTTTCTAACAATAAATTATGACAATCGTTTGCTCTTTTACGTAAAATAAATAAGTCTGCTTTATCTAAGAGTAAACAAATACAATGCAGTCTATCAATTATTTGAGTAAATATTCCTTTACATAACAAGATACGCATACTTTTCCTGATTGGTGTACATATATAAAGGCATTTAAATTTCTAATTGTAGAAAATTGCGTAAAATCTGTTCAGCTTCTGATTTTATCTTGTCCTTATACTGGCCTTAGTACCATAATTAGTGCTTTTGCTGCTAGATTCACGTTTTAAGAATAAAAATATTCACAAGTAAAGCAGAAATTTTAAACTTTTAAAAAAGNCAGTGTTCCACACAGTTGGCTGCTACATATTCTACACATGTACAAAATACATCCATCACTCATTGCATTCTTTCAAAATACTATGCAGCACTGGAGAACAACACTCAAAACAGCCGCCATCAATAAAAACAATCAACAAAGCATTCAAACAATGCATACTCGCAATAAATACGTGACACGCGTTATGTCATACATCAGTCGATTTGAATTATTTCACTTTATAAATGAAAGTGCTTTTGTTATCTAATAAATAAAATTATTAGATAACAATGAAATTTAAAAAATGTGAAGTGAATTCATTCATTCTAATGTTATCTTTTGTATCGGAAAGTTCAAACACGGATTTGTATTATACACTTACACAACAATTTTTATTTTTGATTTTTATAGGTTCAAGGGTCTAAAAAGTAAAATTTTACAAATAACTCGGTGCACCATATTTGAGAAGATTCCATTCTTTTCTATACATGAAACATCAGTGAAAATAAAACGCTCTTAAAACAACGATTGTTTTACACCATTAGAAAAGAAACAATATGCAAAATCAAAAATATTATCTTAGATTTCGATGTAATGCCGATAATTTTACTATTTTAAAATAAAAATTCGTTTCATAAGACACCACGTGACCCAACTGGTATTTATTTAGACACCATCAGAAGGATCAATATTGACATTGATTCAATGAAGCTATACCATCCTGGTTGCCAAGTAAAATTTTTCTGTTAATTTTCGTACATTTTTTCATTGATTGCCTAGTAATACAAACTTATTAATTTATGGATGATACTGCTTATATCACAATCGCGTTAATCAAACACAACGGTACCTCGTTACTCGAACAAACAATCACGATTCGTTAGAACAAATTTTCGGTTAATGGCAAATATTGTAATTTTTATTTCATCATCGGTAAAAAGTTTTCTGTGATGAAAAAGAGTTACAAATTTTTTAAGGATAGGGCAACCCCACGAGAAAGGGTTCACGTGTCCCATGTGATTTAATGTACAGGAGCCCAGCGAATCTTAGTTTTTCTCGTAAATCTCGAATAAAATTAAGATAATGTCTTAATTTCGTTCGAAAATTAGAAAAAAAGTTCAAATAATTCGAATTATTTGCTCCCTTTCTTTCTTTCTTTCTTTCTTCTCTAATATGGAGATTCTGGCTGGTCACCTTTTCTCCGATATTTGCTCCCTTGAATGTCGAAATGACGAAAATTTACTGTTTAGAGAAGCGCCAGAATAAATGAATATCTTCGTTATGAGAATTCACTAACCACTAACTCACGCCTGGTGTCGAAATTGCATTTCACCATTGAATAATAAATAAAAATATATAAAAGTTTTATTAAAGTTTCAAAACACGCAAATTTATTTATACCAAATACAATCATCTACTGTCTTTACATAGAAGACAAGAATATGCACAGTAAAAGCCAGGAAATGTGAAATGTGTAAACAATAATTTGTAAATACAGACAAGACAAATATAATTTGCGCGGCGCTGTGGTTTCGAGTAAGATAACAATGTACCAATAGAGTTTCATCATTTTGAAACATTACCAGATACGATTACCTGAAAACTATAACACATTTTCTATTTTCTTAACGTCACACTGCAATATTATGGCCTGGGCCACATAACGTCTCTTAGGATAATATCTAACCTCAAATAAGACCGTGATCCTACAAAATAGCAATGGAAATAAGTTTACAATTATTCCATCTAACCGGAATTTGCTACTATCTTCAAATAGAAGTGAATTACATTAAAACATAAATATTTATATGTGCCAAGTAAATTTTGAAAATTTACAATTCAAAAGACAATAATTGTATCCTTAAACAAATAATTTTCAAATGTCACTCGAAATGCCTCATCTGTTAATCGTAAAATTAATCAAACGGCCATTTTTAAATATAGTATTAATCCCAGTAAGATTTGGTTTATATGTCGGGTGGATCCAGAAGTATTTTTAACTCTCTGGTTGTTGTCACTAAGAGAGCCTGTTTTTAGCAAGCTTAGTATGGGTTTGGCCGGGTTATGAGGGACGAGGCTCAACATATCCATACGAACCATCCCCCGAAAATTCCTAGGAATTTTTCGAGCAGTCCAGACTCGATTCCGCGTATTACAAAGCGGTATGTTTCCACCTTGACAGCTCGGCTATTCGGCCGACAAGATTCATGGGTGTGCGGAGGGTACGTACACACTACCTGAAATCTTCAAATGTCAAATAGAAAAAAGTTTTCCGTAGTACAACTACAGCGCGGAGGATATAGATATTAATATGAAGTGGCATCTGAATAAAATTCCAGCATCTGCCCCTGACTTGTTCATGGCAACGCGACACATGGGCGATACCGCGAAAAGGAATATCCCCATTAGTACCATCATGAGAAACTAGACTCTATTTCAGTGTTACTAATATGAATGAAACCCGAAAAACACGCCGCCAGCAGATTGACAAGTCGTGATCTCACAATTTTACTACCTCTCCCACTGATGGACAGAATCTAAATAATCTGAAATATTTGGTAATGCGGCATCCTCTGAAAACTATTCTAAAAGTTTAGTAACCTATATATAAGAACTAATAGTATTATTAAATACAGAAAGGCTGCTTGAACATTTCTTGTTTTTTGCCATCACTCCACTCAATTCTACCAAAGAGGAGAAAATGGAATACAATGCACTCACCACCTACAACAACAAGAAAGTTATTTAGTGAAAATCTATTAAACAATTATAGTAAATCTACTTACTCTTATCAAAAAGTTTCGCTTTATAAAGAAGAAATCGGCAACAGAAATTCCCATTGGCATGCCCTTAAATCTTTTCATGAAACCAGTTATCTGTGCAAAAGTATAAAATATTATAATAAACTTCGTATTATTTTAGTCCTACCATGGAATACCAACGAAGTTTATAAATTCACCTTAAACTTGAATTCTGGAGACAGATCAGCAGAAGATAGTTTTACAATGGAACTGTAATCGTCGTAGATCTAAAATTTTAAGGTAATCATGAAATAATGAACGCATTTACAGTATCATGCAAATTTTAAAAGATGTTTAAAAAATATTTGTCATAAGAAATTATTGTGAATAATTAATTAAACGTAAGTAAGAACACATTAGTTTTAAGAAACAGATGACGCTACATGCAAATTTAAACGTTTTTGCCTGGAAAGCTACGCAACTCGATGTTGAATTTTTTACTTTGCGAATTAGAAAGGCAGTTGCCTCCACTATTTCCTCCGACTCGTATATTTACGCAAAATTCGAAAAATGTTGCTTAG